CATCACCCTACTTATGTTTAGTAGCTCTCAATAGCTGAGAGTGTGCCAAGACCTGGACAGTGTCCCAAAGGGGAGGATCTCAGTCAGCACCTAGTTCAGGCTTATAGGAAGCCAGGTCCTCAGGCGGCAATGTTTAATGTATGCAAATATACCTCTTTCAGAGGAAGACTGGGAGATGGGCATTTCTGTCTGCTCCTTCTGAACTGAGCAATGGAGTGATAGCCAGTTAAGATCTGTTTCTTTTTCTGCCACCATCTCTTTGAATTCACAAATACAAACCCCGCTGGCCACCAAGGGCAGGCAATCAAAGGCCAATACCTGGGCAGCAATCACAAAAACCAGGGCACCATATGAAAAAGCTGGACAGCAGATGTGTGTATGAGCTCCCTTCTAGAAGATACCAGCACTCTGGAGTGCAGCAAAGAGAGAGCTGTGATCTCTAGAGGTTTCTGGGAGGATTACAGTTGGCCCTTAGTTTAATTAGAAGCCTGCCTCTCAGGATTCAGTTATGAAGACAGGCCAACAGGCTTCTTTTGCAAGAAAAAATAGATTCCTTAGTCTCCTGCCTCTCTGCTGTGCCCTGGGGTGGTAGCCGGTTTAGAATTCTTTCCCCATTTGTTGCAGTCCTATGGGACCACAATCATAAGCCCAGCTGGCCACCAGAGGAAGGCAGTCTAGAGGAATACCCTAGCTGGGAGCCACTAAAGCGAGGGCACCATGGAAAAGAACAAGCTTCTTTCCTGGAGATACCATTGACCTAGAGTGAGGCAAAGGAAGATCACAAAGTTGGCCTCCACTGGCCTATCCCCCAGAGAACACCTATGTAGGCCCCTACGTGTGTGCCAAACCAGAAGCCTGTCCCTCAGGCTGAAACTTCAGGAAAGGTTAACAGTCCTCTTTTGTAGGAAGACTGAGTTCATAGTTCAGTCTCTATCTATAGTGTGCCCTGGGGGTGGAAGCCAGCCCTGAACTGTCTGCATTTGTTGCAGTCCTGTGGGACCTATGAATGCAAGCCCCACTGGCCATCAGTCAAGTAATGTCCCTTGGGTGGCAGCCACAAAATCCAGTGCCCCAGACATAAAAACTGGGGCACCAGATCCTTGTACAAACTTCCCTTTAGAGTTACCAGTGCTCTGAAGGGCAGCAGAAGGAGGACCTGAAGATAGTGCCTATCCTCCAAGGTTTTTATAGAGGATTATAGTTGGCCCTCAATTGTTTAATTAGAAGTCTGCCCCTCAGGCCCCAGCAGTGAAGATTAATCTAATAAACCTTTTCCACAGAAAGATGGCTGCTTCAATCTGTGACTCTCTCCTGTGCCCTGGGGGTGGTGTCCTGTTAAGAACTCTCTTTATTTGTTATAGTCCTGCAGGACGCACTGGCCACCACAGCCATGTGATCTAGAGGTGTCTCCTGGGTGGCAGCTGTAAAAATTAGGGGGTGTCTAAAGAGGATACAAGCTCCTTTCCTGAAGATACCAATGAGCTGGAATTAGGCAGAGGGAGAGCATAAAGAAGGTGACTGCTGGCCTCTGTCTTTGAAGAGAGTTTTAGTAAGCCCCTATATGTGTATCAAATTAAATGCTTGCCCCTCAGGCCAATGCTTTAAGATAGGCAAATAAGTCTCTTTCACAGAAAGTCTGGGCACTTTTCAGATGGCTTCCCCTATGTGGGGCCCTAGAGTGGGTGAGTCCATGCATGTGGACCCTTTAAGAACTATTTCTCGGTTAGCTGTGGCCTGTGGTCTTATGGACACAAGCCCCATTGGCTTTCAAAGCTAGATGTTTTGGGGGCTTGTCTGTCAGGTGCCAATCTTAAAATCGGGGTTCCAGATGTAAGGTTCAAATCCTTAGGGAGAAGCTTGGGGTTTGGAGTTCCCTCCCAATTGTGTGTCGTCATGCTGGGGATGAGGTTTATGGTCAGATTGTGTCCCAATTTTTTCTACCCACTTTGATGTAGTTTTTTTCTCATTTGCCCAATGTGTAGAAACCATTCAGCTAGTTTGGGGGGGAGGGGGTTCAGACAAAATTATTCCATATGTAGGGCACATACTGAATGGAGAACTGGGTGTTATACGCAAACAATGAATCATGGAACACTACATCAAAAACTAATGATGTAATGTATGGTGATTTAACATAACATAATAAAAAAATTATTCCATATGTAACTGTAGATTCAGTGTGTTCAAGGGTAGAGATGTGTTCAGCATCTCGTACATATCCATCTTGAACCACTTCCATAAGGAAAATATTTAATCATGTTTATGGTTGGCTTATGGAAATGGTGGATCAGTTCAACTGTATGTGGGCCCCTGCAAGGTTATTCCCAAGGGACCTTATGAAGTTCTTTTGGACAAGATGGGGAAATTGACCAGTTAGATGGTTTATGAGATAGTTGGTAATTTCATTAAATAACCTCACCCAAGTATCAGATTCAGGACTTTGTTCTCAGGACTATTTTCATGACTCATTTCTGTTATCATAGAGTTTAATTTGTTTAGGGGAAATAGTACAAATTTACAAGGGGAATTTCTCAGGATAGTGATAGTGAATCTGCATTAGCACAGATTCATTCTTCAAAAAGAATCCTATGTGCTAGGTTGAATCTAATAACATGACATTTAGTAGTGACAACTATAAGATACTGGGCTTAGGTCAAAGGAATCAGCTGTACAAGTACAGAGAGATTAGAAATATTTTTTAAATTATTGAGTATCTGAGATGCTTGGAGGCCTCAGTTGGTTAAGCATCTGACTCTTAATTTCAGCTCAGGTCTTGATCTCAGGGTCATGAGTTCAAACCCCACATTGGGCCCCATGCTGGGTATGGAGCCTACTTAAAAAAAATTAGTGAATATTTTAATCAATTTTGAGATTAATTTGAGTCAAAACTATGATAGAACCACCAGTACTGTTAGTATGACCACAACCTGCATTGACAGAAGTCTAAGGTAAAATGAGGCTCTGCTAAGTCTTGCCAATCTCAGTGCTGATCAGACCATACGTGAAATGTTATATTTGCTTCAGAGATGATCTTGTTAGAGTATAAAAACATATTTAAGTGTGCCCAGATGAAAGAGGAAGATAGTAAAGGGATCCAAGCTTGTCATAATAATAATACCTACTTTTAATTTTATCCCCTTTGCATACCTTTTGAAAAGAAATCTCAGCAGGCTGTTTTCTTTAATTCATATCCTCTGAAACACCATAATAGGTGGATAACCGTAGTTGTTCTGAAATCAGACCACCAGGATTCAAATCTCTCCTTTACAATTTCACAGCTAATTTAATTGAGTTCTTTAAGACTCAGTTCCTGCAAATCCAAAGACTGAACCTTGCCCAAGGTAAAATTATTGTTAAATGACACACATCTTTATGTATCATGATGAAATTCATTCAAGAGATAGAGAAAATAATCTAAATATTCAAAAATTAGTAGGGGGTAAAAAAACCCTAGAAGTTTGCTTAAAAGGTATAAGAGTAAATGAGCATTTTAATATCAACATTGGAAGCTTAAAAAAAGTGGGGGGGAAAATCTATCAATGAGAGCTATGGAGGCCAAAAATCTATACCTACAGAAGGCATCATTTACAAATCTTTATTAAAGGGGCACCTGGATGGCTTAGTTGGTTAAGCCTCTGCTCTTGGCTTAAGTCATGATCCCTGGGTCCAGCTCAGCGGGGAGTCTGCTTCTCTCTCTGTCCCTCCCCACCCCTTGTGCACACACTCTCTCTCTCTCAAATAAATAAGTCAAATCTTTTTAAAAATCTTTATTAAAGAAAAACAGCATATGTATTAAAAGCACTAGATTATCTCTAAATCATCCAACAAAAAGGGAAATTTTTCTAGAAAATATTATATATAAATGTGTTATAAACAACAGAACACTGGAACATATATGTCAAAAATATTCAATTTATAAGAACAACTCAATAAAATACAATTATATTGTACCTCAATAAAAATAGGACATTTTAGTGTTTAAAAAGAATCAAACTATAATGGCATCAAATATTCAGTTTTATTTTAAAATATACATATTATGACTTATATGACATATTTGAAGAATCTCCTATATATGGTATACATGACATATTATGTAAATGTGACATATTTTAATCACCTCACATACATGATATATACATATTATGACATATATGTCACATTATATGTGACATATATGTGTCAAATATACCATATATAGTATGACATATTATGTATGAAATATGTTATATATATTATGATGTATGTATGACATATTTTAAAATACCTCATTCTCCAATTAAAATTAGTAATAACAATCAAATGTTTACCATAATCTTAATTAACTATTTAGATATTAAGAAATATTTTTAGTCCATTTCTTTGATTAAATAAAAAGAGGAAAACTTGCCTCAATGACTGATTTCAGGCATTAATAAGAATATTATTTTTCTGCATAATGTGGCAAATGGAAAATTTTTGTGTTTCTCTATGTTTCCTATACTATTTACAATAAGAAGAAAAATAAATTAATGAATGTTAATCTACAGAAAAATCCCACTATCTCCCTACATGGAGTTGGTTTGAGAAGAAAAGGCAGGGCTCTGATTTCTGTTGAGAACAGAAAAGAAAGGAAAAGAATAGATGATCTGAGCAATAAAATCAGTACTTTCATCTCTCAACCAAGATGCTCATTTAATCAACCAGGGCTAAGATGTATATACTCAAGGAGAATTCATTAAATAGGTCTGTACAGTCTTATTCCTCAAGAGTCTTTGTACAAGTTTATAATAATATGACCCACAGATATAATTTTAACTTCATTAGCAATGACTTCATTATATATCCCTGTCATCTGAATTTTATAACTTTTCTTGTCCTAGAAACCTTGTTGCAATGAGCGAAATTATGCTAATAAGAGGATGTAATTCACCAATGAAACAATTCATTTCTAAATTGATTTTTTTATTAAGGTAAAATATTATTTATACTGTTTTTGTTTCTTTTGTTTGTATTGCAAGTGAGGCCCTGTGATTTTCCACAAATAAAATATGGAAGTTTATACAAGGAAAACTACCATAGATCATCCTTTCCAGCAGCTATAGGACAAAAGTTTTACTATTCCTGTGATTCCAATTTTGCGACTCCTTCACAAAAGCAGTGGGAATACATTACTTGCACACACAAAGGTTGGGAACCAGAAGTACCATGCCGCAGTAAGTAAACCTTTTTATAATTGTATATGTGTACATATTTCAAATAGTAGAGGGGGAAAAACACATAAGTGAGTACAATTAAGCCTTGTATGACAAAAATGAGGCCAAGGGATGAGTTTTATGAGCAAAAAGACCAATATAGGTTTTTCCTTTAATGAGGAGTTCTACATAAAAATCATATTACAGATAAAGATAGAAGCTTTTCAAAAACACCTATATCATTCATACAAATTTTAATTATAAAAACTGAAGATAAATAATATTGAATATTGATTTTTTTCTTTCTACACATTTGGTAATAGCTTTAGTTTTTCTTAAGTTTTTGGATACTTATGCATTATAGTTTTAATATTGTACAAAGAGTTTTTAACTTATGATTTTGCCTGAATTTATGGGTTTTTAAAATTTTTTGTTCATCATTTTTATGATTTTTAGGACGATGTATTTTCAATTATTTGAAAAATGGAGATTATCCAAGGTATGAACAAACATTTCTCCAAGATGAAACTGTGAGAGTTAAATGCAATTCTGGTTACAGTCTTCAAAATGAGCAGACTATAATGACATGTACAGAGAATGGCTGGTTCCCTCCTCCAGAATGCATCCCTCTCAGTAAGTAAATGGTCTGAGATCCCAGTATATTTATGGTTTTCTAACCCGCATCTTTATTAACTGTAGCAAAATTTTATATCAACTTTCTTATTTCTGCCAATAGATATACTTAGCTTTATTTTTTCCAAGTATGTATGAGTGGATATACACATTTCTTGATACATATGCAGCAAAATAGATGTCTACTGATAGGTATTAGTCAAGAAAACAGTAAAACACAAAGAAGAAACCTGTAATAATAGAGTGATACCAGCAGTGGAGGGAAGAAGATGGCAGTGGAGAAGGAGGAACCTAGCCTCGCCTTGTCCCATGAATACACCTAGATAACCATCAAACCATCCTAAGTACCCCAGAAATCAACCTGAAGACCGGCAGAACAAAATCCACAACTAAAGGTCAAGAAGAGGCCACATTGAAGAAATAAGATGTACACAGTTTGAGAGAAACGGATTGTGGCCACTGAGGTGGGGAGAGAGCCATGGTCACAGAGAAAGGCAAGGGACAGATTAACACACAAGGGAGCACATGGGAAAAATGAATTACCATAGCAATTGTCTTGGAAAGTGAGAGAGGCCAAATTTCATAATTCTTATAACCAGTGGGGTTTAAAGCCTGGGGTTTTCAAGGTCAGTGTGCTTGGCTCTGGGACAGCTCAAAGGACATTGGGGCTTGGAGAAAAGGCAACCAAGCAGCCTGTCAACATACAGCTGGAAAGAGCAATCTGAAGAGCACGCAGGGCACACAGTGAGGAGCATGTTGCAGAAAGGCAGCTTTCACAGAGAGAGCCCTTTGGGAACAAAGGAACTGGCAGGTGCCATTGCCTTCCCCTACCCTTCAGCATAAACACAGAGCCACCTGTGGGAACCAGCACAGGGCCAGCACTCACTACTTAACTTGCTTGCACCAAGTCCCACCTCCCTGTGCTCCAGTGGAACCACCCTTCCCGGTCATGCTTGCCTCAGTCCCTGAGCAGCCAGCATTCTCCCCCAGAAGACCAAGCCAAACCCCTGCCCTCACCATCTCTCCCGACCTGGGAGTTTTGGGAAGCCTTGATTCCAGCAGTGGTGATAAGAGGTCTCATTTCACAAGCAGACCAGAGCACACCTAAAATTAAAACTCACCACAGTCAGGCCAGGGACCAAATACTGACCACAACAGGCAAAGAGAGCCTCTGCAGATGATTGGCCCGAAGGATAAAGCAGTCAGGACACAACAGCAGTGTGCATACAGCACACACTGCAGACACTCCCTGAAGTGTCAGGCCCTGGGGGACAGTGGTCACAACACTGCAGAGCACTATAGAACCTCTTCTTCATAAGGCCATTACCCTCAAGAACAGGAGAAGTAGCTAACTTTCTTTTAAGATTTTTTTTAAAGATTTTATTTATTTATTTGAGAGAGAGAGAATGAGAGATAGAGAGCACGAGAAGGAAGAGGGTCAGAGGGAGAAGCAGACTCCCTGCTGAGCAGGGAGCCTGACGTGGGACTCGTTCCCAGGACTCCAGGATTATGACCTGAGCCGAAGGCAGTCGCTTAACCAACTGAGCCACCCAGGCGCCCCAAGAAGTAGCTAACTTTCTGAACAAAGACGCATGCATAGAAATTTAGACAAAATGAGAAAACAGAAGAATTTGTCCCAAATGAAAGAACAATACAAGGCCACAGCCAGAGATGTAAGTAAAATATATATTAGCAATATGCCTGATAGATAATATTACAAAGATACTCACTGGACTTGAGAAAAAAGTCAAAGACATGAGTGAGACCTTTAACACAGAGATAAAGAATAACATAGCAGAGATCAAGGGCTCTATAAACAAAATGAGAAACACACTTGATGGAATGAACAGCAGGCTGGAAGAAGCAGAGGAATGGGAATTAATGACCTAGAAGACAGAGTAACAGAAAGTAATCACACTGAACAAAAGAGAGGAAAAAAATTATGCAAAATGAGAATAGACATAGGGAACTCAGTGATTCCTCAAACACAACAACATTCCTATTATGGGAGTCCCAGAAGAAAAAGAGAAAAAAAGGGGAGGGGCAGAAAATTTATTTGAAGAAATAATAGCAGAAAACTTCCCTAATCTGGGGGAGGAAACAGATATCCAGATCCAGGAAGCATAGAGAACCCCCAAAAATCAAGAAAAGCAGGCCCATACCAAGACATATTATAATTAAATTGGCAAAACATAGTGATATAGAAAAAAAATTTAAAAGCAGCAAGACAAAAACAAAACAAAACAAAAAGACAATAAAATATAAGGAAAAACCCATAAGGCTACCAGGGGATTTTCAGCAGAAATATCCAAGTCAGAAGGGAGTGGCATGATAAATTCAAAGTGCTGAATGGGAAAAATCTGCAGCCAAGAATATTCTATCCAGAAATCCTATTATTCAGAATAGAAGAAATAATAAAGAATTTACCAGACAAAAATTAATGGAGTTCATGACCACTAAACCAGCCCTGCAAGAAATATTAAAGGGGACCCCGAGTGAAAAGAAGAGACCAAAAGTGACAGTATGAATGTAGGAAACCCAAAGCAGTAAAAATGAATGTTTCTGTAAAAAAAATTCAGTCAAGGAATTCACAAAATAAAAGGGTGTAAAATATGACACAATATACCTGGGGAAGAGAGGAGTAAGAATGGGTTCAAACTTAAGTGACCATCAAATTAATATAGATCGCTATATGCAGAAGATATTATGTACAAACCTAATGGTAACCACAGATCAAAACCACTAATAAATATGTAAAGAATAAAGGGAAAGAAATCCGATATGTCACTAAAGAAAACCAGCAAACCATAAAAGAGAGAATGACAAGAAAAGATCTAAGAAAATCTTCAGGAACAACGACAAAATAGGTAAAAAAGTGGCAATAAATACAACCACAAAACAGGTAATAAAGTGGCAATAAATAAATAAATATATATATATATCAATAATTCCTTTGAGTGGAAATGGACTAAATGCTCCAATCAAAAGACAAGTTGGCAGAATGGTTAAACAAACCCATCTATATGCTGCCTACAAAACTCATTTTGGAACAAAAGTCACCTGCAGATGGAAAGTGAGGAGATGGAGAATATTTATCATGCAAATGGGTGTCAAAAGAAAGCTGGGATAGCAATCCTTATATTGGACAAAATAGACATTAAAACAAAGAGTATAACAGAAGACAAAGAAGGGCAAGATATACTAATAAAGGGGATAATCCAAGAAGAAGATACAACAATGGTAAATATGTAGGCAACCAACATGGGAGCTCCCAAATACATGAAACTGTTAATAACAAACATAAAGGAACTAATCAATAATAATACAATAATAGGGGACTTTAACACCCCATTTACATCAGTGGACGGATCATCTAAACAGAAAATCAACAAGGATACAATGGCTTTGAATGACACACTGAACCAGATGGATTTAGTAGATACATTCAGAACATTCTATCATAAAACAACAGAATACACACTCTTTTCAAGTGCACATAGAATAGAACACATATTAAGCCACAAAACGAGCCTCAACAGATTCAAAAAGATCAAAGTCATACTATGCATCTTTTCTGACCACAACGCTATAAAACTAGAAGTCAACCACAAGAAAAAAATCTGAAAGATCACAAATACATGGAGGTTAAGTAACATGCTACTAAACAATGAATGGGTCAAGAGGAAATAAAAGAAGAGATTAAAAAGTACATGGAAACAAATGAAAATGAAAACACAACAGTTCAAAATCTTTGGGATGCAGCAAAAATGGTTACAAGGGGAAAGTTTATACTATACAGGCCTAGCTCAAGAAGCAAGAAAAATGTCAAATAAAGAACCTAACCTTACACTGAAAAGAGCTAGAAAAACAATAAGAAAAAAACCTAAAACCAGCAGAAGGAAGGAAATAATAAAGATTAGAGCAGAAGTAAATGATAAATAGAAAAACAATAGAACAGATAAATGAAACCAGGAGCTGGTTCTTGGAAAGAACTGATAAATTTGATAAACCCCTAGTCAGATTTATCAAAAAGAAAAAGGAACCAAATAAATTAAATCACAAATGAGAGAGGAGAAATAACAACCAACACCACAAAAACACAAACAATTATAAGAGAATATTCTGAAAAACTGCATGCCCACAAATTGGACAGCCAGAAGAAATGGATAAATTCCTAGAAACATAAACCTACCAAAACCGAAACAGGAAGAAACAGAAAATTTGAACAGACCAATTACAAGCAAAAAAAAAAGAAAAAGAATCAATAATCAAAAAAACCCAATAAACAAAGTCCAAGATCAGATGGCTTCATAGATGAACTCTACCAAACATTTTTTTAAGATTTATTTATTTATTTTGAGAGAGGGTGGGGAGGGAGGAGCAGAGAGAGAATCCAAGTAGACTCCCTGCTGAGTGCGGAGCCTGACATAGGGCTGGATCTCATGACCCTGAGATCACAACCTGAGCTGAAATCAAGAGTCGGATTTTTAACTGACTGAGCCACCCAGGCAGCCCTCTACCAAACACTTAAGGAAGAGTTAATACCTATTCTTCACAAACTCTTCCAAAAAATAGAAAAGGAAGGAAAGCTTCCAAATCCATTTTATGAGGCCAGCACTACCCTGATACCAAAACCAATAAAGACACCACAAAAAAGAGAACTACAGGTCAATATTTCTGATGACACAAAAATCCATAATAAAATACTAACAAACTGAAACCAACAATACGTTTAAAAAAATATTCACCACAGTCAAGTGGAATTTATTCCTGGGTTTCAAGGGTGGTTCAATATTCACAGATCAATCAACATGATACATCACATCAGTAAAAGAAAGGATAAGAACTATATGATCATTTCAACAGATTTCGGAAAAGCATTTGACAAAGTACAACATCCATTCATGATAAAAGCCTTTAACAAAATAGGTTTAGAGGGAACATACCTCAACATAATAAAGGCCACATATGAAAAAGCCACAGCTAACATCATCCATTAT